TGGACCCAATACACAGTTATAGCAGGATCGTCATGTAATACCCACTTCAGCACAATACCGGAGGGCAACTGGTGCTCGTGGAACAATACTCAAACCTCCAAGAGGAGAGAAAATAGGCAGGCAAATTTTACAAACAAAATCTATCATATGATCAGATATCTGAATCATTGAAATGAAATTAACCATAGCAACAAGAGCCGTTCATTTAATTCATCCTACATATTCTCCTTTACAAAACCATTCAAATGTAACACCATCTGTTCCAACATACAGTATTAAATTTATACAAAGCATTTTGCCACATACAAAGAGACTTAAAAACCTATCTATAGGAAATGGTTAAAAAATGAAAACAATCTTTAAGGTTCCTTTGCATTTGGATATATAACTCCATTGGCATTCATCTCTGGGTCACCTCAGGGCGTACCAGGATTGTATTCTACTTTACGGGGGGGGGGGGGGGGAAGAATCAGACAATAAAGATAATTGTAGGAGTCTTAGAAAGAACAATTTGGTTGCTGTGAATTAATCCGGCTGTGCCTTTTATATCATTTGAGCTGCAGATAGTAGAATTCAAATTAGGGTAAGCATTTGCTTCTTGGCGTCCAGCTGAATAGCTTCTATTCTGATGGTGCACGACTGCAACAAGCATATAATCAGTTGCTTAGCACAACATAACAATCTCAGTCACGTGACTTCAAAATCTCCAGAGGATTTGGCAGTTACAAAGACAATGCTGAATCTGGTAAAGTCGGTGAAACTGAGCGATCAGTTCATATTACACCTGCAAATTCTGACAATACACAACAATAAAATCAGTCCCACATTAGATCACATCAGAGGAAATCTCTAACCTCACTTCACATAGGCTGAAAGTGAAAAATGTATCAAACTAGTATCAATAGCCTGACGTAAATCTTTTTCTAGTTTTAGCCAGCTATACTGTACATGCTTGTGCATGCACCAAAGTAATCCAAAAGCATCTATAAACTAGCTCAAGGGAGACCATTCCACCCCTCCCAGAAACCATGTGAGGTCACATTTCAGTTTGCATCATTCTGACTGTGAGATGGTTCTACATCCCTATATGTACACCCACGACGATACGGCTCACTCTCCCTTCGCAGAGTGTACTGGATGGCCTCAGTGTTCAATCCTCACTAATGAATGCAAGTCCCCATAACTAGGTGTAACTTGACTAATGAGTTCTTCCACAACAACAGGTACTACCAATTGCTATTTAAATTAAAGGAAATCGGGAAGTTTCTGTCATCAGTCTTTTACTCTTAATAGACTGACGTAGGCTCAACCTGTTTGCATATTTGCACCTATGAAATAACAAACACTAATCACACTTAAATTAAACATGCTTGCAGCTTGCAATGAAGTTAATGTAAAGTGCACAAAAAAACAATCCCTGACCTAGAGGACAACTCCTCATCAATAGTCAAGGCATCTAACTTTTGATGTTATCAGGTAAAAATAGCAACCCTGAGCACATAGTTCTCATTCTTTTATGGGCATTGAGCCCCGCCCTGAATTAGAGTACCCAGTGGTAATTGTATTGCATCAATTGCTTGATGTAATTAGTGCCTTTTTTATGGTGCAATCCAAATCATCTTTTACATGACCCAATAGGGAAACAGTGTACCTTCTTATCCACTTACGCAAATTATAGATAAGTCAGTTACCCCACCAAATTGTTTCAATCGACACTAGAGTCAGACTTAATGCACCATAAGTATCAAAAACTTCAAATACATAAAATATGTATTTAAAGAGCTACTCAATATATTTATAATGCGCATGCGCCAGTTCTACCGAAGTCTGTGACACTTTCCGAGTTTCCCCGAGCACAATCGGTAATTACTAATCACACTCAGACTAGCGAATGCTTTTAGTGAACACAAACTTATAGAATATATTTTAAACAGGCAGATACAGAAAACAAAGGGGTGGAAATAACAACTGAAACCGAAAGCTTTGTTGGCTAGAAGTGTACAAGCAAATGAAATGCAACGTAATCAAAAGATGAACAAAGTTCGCTCCTGTCCTTTCTAAAGGGTAAGCTTTCTGATCCTAATTTCTTTTGATTGTTCTCTAATATTTTGCCAAATTACCTGCTATCAGCCTAACTCCATTAGCCGCACTCATCTTTGAGAGAAGGTTTTGAATTCAAGCCACATGTCAGGAGTTTCATCTCATAGTTTAGGCTGATACTCGAGTGCAATGCCATCCTTCAGATAAGTTAAACCAAGATCCTGCCTGTCCATTAAACATTAAAAATCCCCTAACACTATTTGAAAAGAGAAGAGTTTCACTAATTTTCTCCCTAACCAACACTCAATCCTCCAGATAAAATTGGTCAATCACTGTTTGTGCATAATGCTGTGTGTAAATTGGTTACTCATTTACCTACAAAAATAGTCATGCTTGAGATTTGATATCATCCTTCATAAATGAATTCAGAATCCTGGCATCAAGCACTCTTCCTGGACCCATTCCAACTGTTTATTATCCTAAATTCATACTCCTGCTCAGGAGTACCTGTAGAACATTTGTAAATCATCCTTAATCAAAACTGGCATCATTGGCTAAAAATTATTTTCTCTTCCACTGTGGTTGTTTGGTTGCTTTTTGAATGAAATTGTAAATAGTGACTTGGCAAAGAGACTACAAATTTTATGAGTTTTTTTTTTAAAAAATGCTAATTTTCTTCCTGACAGTCCTGAAGGCACTGACATTCGCTGGTGTATAATTCCATAGTATTGGCAACGCTCTAGTGCCTCATCCATGTAACCATTCTTCATGTGCAAAACTAGGCCAAGTACCAAAGAGAGGATATTCAAAAATGTTCAACATACCCAAGATCTTCTGGCATGATTCACTCTTGGCAGTGAATTTACCAACTGAGCAGTCAACCAACTATAATGTGTTTTTATTTTAAGAATGAAAAAACTTTCATTTTTGTAGTGCATTATGTTGAAATGCTTCACTGTTTTACAGTAATGGAGAACCCCATTATAATGCAGTTCTCTTCAACCGTGCCTTCAGCTCCCCTCTCGACTCTCTACCCCCTCCTCGCTTCCTCCCTTCCCTCCCCTCACCCTGACCATTTCCCCCCTGCTCGGGTCCCAACCCAACTGTCCAGCGCCTTGGGACGTCCCCCCGACATGAAAGGCGTTCCATAAATGAAATCTTGTTGTTATTGTAATAATACTTGCATTTGATATAGCGCCTTTCACGTCTTCTAAAGTCTCAAAGTGCTTCACATACAGTATTCATACAGTAGTTGGAATCCATGGAATCTGAACCAGTGCTATAAGGGGGGGGAGGGAACAATTGCATCGGCATTCTGGGACCACTGTGGACAACATTTCAGGAAATTAAATGACACTGGCAGTGATCTTATGTCAGACATTGTTAGCATGGGGAAGCCAAAATGGTTACCATTATTTCATTGCACTGCTGCTGAATCCTCAAAATGGCGACTGACTAAGTTCTAAAACTAGAAACTGGTAAAATAATCAGCTGATAGCCGCAAACTGTATACAAAAGTGCAATATGTACATTATATATAAAAAAGCAATACAAATGTAGAACTACTTGAATAATGAACATGCCCAGGAAGGCAGACAAACAGGTTGCGGAACCCCACTCATGTTGACAAATTTCTGAATACAGCCGACAAGAGGAGACTCCAACACAACAATAATTCTTGCATTATGATATAGCGCCATATTGCATCGTTGAAAAGTCTTAAAGTGCTTCACAGTATATTCGATAAAGTGAATTGACTGCATATTTTGTGGACGAAATGCTCGCAAATATGTTAATATATCAAGAGAAAGATTGGATTCTAACTTAATTTAATGCATTTTATTTTCCCTTACTTGCCAAGGAACCTTGGTTGTGTCCTCCACTGTAAGCTTGGTTCTTCTCATTTTAGTATATGGAAGGTGGCTTAAGTTAAACGTTAACTGCAGTAATCTACTGCTCACTGAGTAATAAGGGCAAATATTCCAACGGGTTTAGAGTCTAAAGAAATCTACCAGGTTTTATCATCAAAGGTAATTCCAGTGAAAACTACTGCTATTTGTAACTATCCTCTAATTTTCCACTGGAACTACCTGTCCCTATACAAGAGAGGAAGACAAAAAATGCTAACTTTTGTCCCCTAAATCACCCCACCATTAATTTTCCCTCAATTCACAGACCTTGCCAAGCACCAAAAAGATTAACCAGATGTAGTAACTAACGAGCAAATGAAATGTAATCTCAGAGATGAAGCCACAACAGTTAGGTAGGGGTTTGGGATTCACGAGGATCTGTCCAACATGGCTTCTATTACTTTAGAAATCGAAATGGATCTAACAGTCAGTTATCATTAAAGTAACTATAATTTAGTACACCAGAGGAAACACATTACCCTTTTGACTTAGTGACCATAGTGACCATATAATAATAATAATAATAATAATAATCCTTGCATTTTTTGATATAGCGCTTTTCACGTCGGGAGGACGTCCCAAAGCGCTTCACAGAACACACTGTAAAGTGAATTGACTGTATATTTGTGGGCGAACGCGGCAGCCAATTGCGCACAGCAATGTCCCACAAACAGTCGTAGATTGAAAATGACCAATTTAATTATTGTTTTTTTTTAGTTTTGGAGGGATTATTATTAGGCGTGTGGAGTAAGGAAACTTGCCCAAGGTTTCGCCCTGCCTGGAATTGAACTCAGGTCTCTAACCACTGAGCTACAGGACTCCACATATGACCATAGTGGGTTTTTTTTCAGAAACTCAGTGTGAACAATTTAAGGTTTTAAATTAAAAGTAAATTCTGTTTATCTTTGACATTTATTGCTGGCAATTCAGGTACTGCAACATATTCATGTTGAAAAGCACAAGTCACATACATTTTGGATGAAGGAATCACCTTGCAGGAAATCTGGCAATAATACAGTACAACACAAAAATGATAACCATATAGCTTACCAGTATGAAACCCAGAAGATTCATGGTACTTGTCTGACTGGGAGCTCTCTAAATGGTGGCTTGCAGTGGTCAGGACGTGTTAACACCTTCAAATGAACAAAATATTGGTTTGATATAGCTCTTTTTATATAGAAAGAACTTCTCAAACGCTTGATTGTGAAAGAGCACTGAACAGGGAGAAGGGAAAGAATGTTGACCAAAAGCAATCTTTTTTTAAAAAAAATCAGGATTTGAAAACAAAGAGGAAAGGAGGCAAAGATGTTTAGAAAGCAAGTTCCAGGAATAGTGAATGAAGAGTTAGTTACCAATGCAAAGATGGAGGGAGTACGAAACAAGGAACAGACTAGATATTGGAGCAGAGGGTATAGGCAGGAGCAAAATGCTTAAATAGGGGTAAGTACTTGAAAGTCAGACAAGGATCTTAAAGTTTCATTGATTGGGACAAGACAGGCTGGTTAACCATCAACATCACCTCAAATTGCTGCTTTTGTGAGGCATGTCTCCTCAACCAGGTCAGCTGTAGAGATCTCCCAATTGCATTACTTCTGGGGGAATTTTAAAAAACTGTGGTACTCATTTAATCAACCTCGAGAGGGCGAAGGGCTGAGTGGATCCACACAGATTCGGACCCAGAATCTTCTGGTCCTTACTTGAAGAGCAAGTTGGGATGTAAGACAGACGAATCATCAAAAAACATTGGTAGTAAACAGGTTCCCTTCCACTCATGAAGGATTACAGATCTCAATCGGACCTCTAAGTGTGCTGAAGGGATTTAAACCTTTTCCAAAGCAAGACCTTCGGGCTGTACTATACTGCATTTAGTGGGTACAGAAACAAGTCACCTATGCTCATCATGTCAACCAAAAGAGAATACTGGAGTTAGACAATCACAGCAGCTCTACAATACTGTTAACAGAATATTTTTTCTTAAGCCAACAAACTGACTGCAAGAGTTAACTTTCCTCTCCTTGTCCACAGCACAATATTTTGTAGACAGCGTGGGTAGAGTTAAATACCACGAGTTTGATGTCCTAAAATACTGCATTTAGTTTCCAAGTCCCTGTGGTTATCCAGAAGCTTTGACTTGAAAATATAATTACTAAAAAAAATGACAACCAAAATGCATTACCCTAAAAAAATTCCTAACTGAAAGGAATACTAATACTTCAGTAAAGCTATCTAAATCTAATAGCACTGACCCTTTAAATTGGCCAAACGAAGGTTCAACAAGCCAATCCTAAAAGCATGCCAAGCAGAGGTCACGCACAGATTTTGATGCAAATCATTCCCCAAAAAAAGACACGTTGCAAGAATCTATCCATGAGAAAGACCGTTGGAACAACAAACACACTGGAGGTGAACAGTTGCACTGGTGAACGTGATCAGGAAGAGACAATGGATTCAGGAGGAGGAGTTCCATGGTCCATGCAGAGGCATTTTCACAGAGCGCACAATAGAGAAAGACAGGCCACCTGACAGTGATGATGAATGTTGCAACAGGACAAAGGATCAGTGCCTCAGCTAATGATACTGAAAGAGAGGGCAAGATTGTTCCTTTAAACAAAAAAAATCCCAGTAAGGCTTAAAAAAAGATTAATTTATTCCAGCAAGTCTTACGTTACAGAAATATTACATGTACAAATGTACCACATTTGTTGTATTGCCATAAAGCAGTTAGTTGTTGTAACCTTCTCTTGACCCCTCCTACCAGGAACTCCATCCAGTCACTGTTTACAGGCTGCATCCAGCATTGTTTATACAGAGTCATCAATCTAAATTAAAGAGAAAGTATCGACTTCCTATGCTTTTAATATCCCTCTGTGATTTAATCAATCTTCTCTTTCAGCATGATTTCATATTGTATGTAGTGAACTGACTATTTTCCCTTTTTCTCCACATACACACCAACTAAATTGTTTGCTTTCATCCCTAGTGGAGACAAATGCACCTCACATTGCTTCTTGCAACTCTCAGTGCTATAATTGTGTAGCTGCAATATTTTATTTTGGCTTATACAGGCATTGGCAACTTGTTTCTGCGTATGCTAAATTTTCCTATCCCATATTTTACTAAAAATACATTTTCAGCACTCCTAAGTTGACCTTAAGATCTATTATACACCCTGAATCTTTAATCAATCACATCTTCCTAACAATTCTATATACCTACCATGGATCCCTTATGGTAAATGCATTTACCACTTATGATTTACAATTTTCAATTGAGTTCCACTTAGACCAGGAAAGACAACTCCATTGGCCCATCGACTACCAACCAAGCTTTAAAGCAGGGCCAACATGAAATCATACATTACAGATATGTGCACACATTTTTCTCTGGAAAGCCCCCTGCTCATATTGATAGGTTCTCACACTTGAAAAAGAGTCAAGAGTGCAGTTTGAAAGAAGAATGAATATGGGGAGGGACAGGGAAAGAATCATGCTTTAATTTTAATAAAACCCCTAGTTTTGAAAATCTGCCCAGAGTGAAGTTTCAGAAGTTATACTTTGTTTCAAATTATTGCATTCATCTCTGGCATTGTTTACAGAGCAAAGGAAATTCCATTCAGATCCAGTAATCTGGATTGATTTCCAATTTGCATCTGTTACCTTTAAGTAGATGAAGCTCATAGTACAATGCAATAGACAAGTCATATAGAATAGCAACCAGCAAGCAGGATTCCAAGAAAGCTAGAATCATGTATTTTTAAAACTTTCACTCGCACAAACTCGTAAAAGATCATTTTAATGTTATTAGCCTAGCTCTCAACACATTGAAAACACTATTTAGTGAATTTGTCCATATGCAGAACAGCCCTCGCTCCGCAGGCAAAATGAAATACAAATGCTCTATAACATCCTGCTGTGAATCACATCACTGCTGGATCTGAATTTGAAATGACTTCTAGCATGATAAACTAGATTTCACTGGTAAACAAAGCAAACCTGTAATATTAAAAGTCTGACAACTCACAAGTATCACAAATAACAAGGGAAGCATAAGAAAGGTAATTAATCCACAAATAAACTGTTTTAACCAAACTGAATTAAACTTCATGCATGCACTTACACAAATAATACCAATTAAACTTAAATACTAAATTATGTAAACCTTACCTATGCATTTTAAAATTTACAAAAATATTAAATTTCACAGCTTTACTAATTCCTCAGTAATGTCACTGGACAACATAAGAGTCTAAAATCCGCATAATTTGGCAGTTTTGCGCATGCACACACAATCTCCCTCTCACACCACATACACACACGCGCGCGAGAGAGATCTCATGACACTATTGATTTGTGCCTCAAATCACTAAAACACTATTATGGACACTTTTGATCCCTATGAAGCACCTTCCTTTTCTTACCCTGAAAATACCAAAGTCTGCCACATGATTTAACATATTGACTACATTATTAAAACTCGACTATTCCAGATTTCTTTGGGTTTTCAAATGCTCTCCATGTTTCCTTTAAAATGTCACCATAATTTTGTTAAATAACAATAGTATAAAGCAATATACCTATCCCACCTGGTTAGGGACATATGTGCGTGTGTTGGGGGGGCGGGGAGCTAAATAAAGAAGAAACAAAAAGTATCAATTAAATTTAATTTGAATATACTGCAAGTCTATCCTGATCATCAAAATATAGGCAGTTAAATATAAGATGCAAAAATTGAAGTAATTAGCCAACAGCAAGGGTTAGGCTTTGATGGCGTACTTGGAGTGCAAGCATTTCTGTGGTCCTCAATGCAACCAATTTGAGGTTTATTCTACTGAATAAAAAATGCGTCAGTGTGCCACTGCCATTTTATATAACTGCCACAAGGTATTGAATTTAAAACTTCCTGATTTTAACATCTGTAACTCGGCTGTTTTACTGTTGGGAAACCATTGCAGTCATCTGCTATGTATTTTGATCAATAGCCTTCCATTCCAACCGATTCCAAATACTTGGAAGAGAGAAGAGGCAAAGGAAAGTATGATTACATTTAAAGTGATTTGGATTCAGAAAATTCAAATAAATAGGCTTGAAATTTGTCATCAGGTCTACTTAATGCAATTCTCAGTAAACATCGGTTAAAAATCCCCAACATTCAAGGGTAAAACCACTGCCACAAAGCTTTGACCATCAAAGAATCTTGGTAGTGTTTTGCATGACTGAAAAAGATTGACTTATTGAACAGATCAGTGACATTGATCTCGGAAGGTTGCATTCTGCAGTATAGAACATAGTTAGGAACTGTTTTTTTGCTGACGTTTCAAAGTGAAAACGTTCCCAATCTTTCCATCTCTACACTCCTGAGGCCGCTCGACTCATTTCAGTCTATAGCACATAGTTCCATGTGTGCCAAGAACATTTCAGTTCTTCATTTAAACACCTATTTTTCATGTTTTGAGCCTTGGCAGAATATGATAACACTCTTATTGACCACATGGACATTGCAGCAAAGCCACATCCTGTCCTCCTCGCCCATGGTACATAGTCACCTTCCAGCAGTGCTGGGGGAGGTCTGACTGGATAATTAAGATCTCCAACTTGGCTAATCACCCCCCACCCCCACCGTTCTAGGCGCTGAGGCCAATTAGAGAGAACCCCAGCTGAGAGCAGCATACACAGAACAGCATTCTAACCTGTAGGCGTCCAGTGTGTATTGACACCACGCTTTCCCCACCAAATCATTGGGGAAGCTCAAACATCTGGATAGAACTGTACTGACAACAATCCACTTCTTTTCCCACCACTACAGGATTCACCAATTTGGGGGCAAACACTGAACAGTTAAAGGAAGACAGAATTTAGATAAATTCAGATATTTTTAGAGCATTTGCAATATTCATCATACCACACCCTGGCAATGGCAATGATGACAGGTTTTCATTTCTGTTATTAAACAGAACTGCATGCATTTCATTGCACAAATGCTCCCTCTCCCTTCAACCCCAACAGCTAAAGCACAATCCTAACTAAATGGAAAATATGTGCATGTACAATACACGTTTGATAGAAATGTAAAACATTTCTCTGCAGTAAAATGTAGGCAACATCAAGAAAAATATTCAGACAAACAATTTTGCAGA